GCTGGCATGTGGGCGGGGGAGCGTCCAGACTGCCCCGATCTGCCGACAAACATCTGATCGGCAGAGCTGGGCAGCCATTTAAATTTAAATGAAGCCACGATTATTTAAATCGTGGCTTCATTTCCCTTTGCCGAACAAACAAATCTACATGGCTCCATCGACGGAGCCATGTAGTCTAGACGTACCCTAGGTGATAACAAGTGGAATTCTGTTGTTTTCTCTTTTGAGCCTGTCTTGAAGTAGTTCCTGTCTGGGTACTTTTTTGGCTTTGTCAATCTGATTTTTCACTTCACCAGGTGGGTATTTCAGTTTTAAGAATGCTATTTATAGATCTTGTAGGTGTTTGTCTCTGTCTATGGGACTGGAGCAAATACTGTTGTATTTTAGGGCTTGACTGTATACAATAGATTGGGAAATGTGTCTAGGATGGAAGCTAGATGCGTGAAGGTAAGTGTAGAGGTTGGTAGGTTTCCGGTATAGGGTGGTAGAAATTTGTCCATGGTTTAATAGTACTGTAGTGTCAAGGAAGTGGATCTCTCTTGAGGACTGATGCAGTCTGAGGCTAATGGTGAGGTGGAAGTTGTTGAAATCCCTGTGAAATTTTTCAAAGGTTTCTTTCCCGTGGCTCCATATGATGAAGATGTCATTGATGTAGCATAAGTAGAGTAGGGATCTTAGGGGGTGAGAGCTGAGGAAACATTGTTCAAGATCAGCCATAAAGACGTTGGCATATTGTGGACCTACAGTCCTCAACTTAAACCCCTCCAATGCATTATCAACAATCTACAAGCTAACCTAGAAAATGACCCCTCACTCTCAGAGACCTTGGGGGAAAGGCCAATTCTCATTTATAGACAACCCCCTAGCCTCAAACAATTTCTTTCCAGTAACCACGCAACATACCTCTATCATAATCATCCTGGAACTTACTCATGCAAGCAGCCCCGGTGCCAACTCTGCACACATATCTATACCAGCGATTTCATCACTGGACCCAATGACATCAGCCACCAAATCAAAGGCTCATTTAACTGCACATCCACTAATGTGATCTATGCCAGCAGTGCCCCACTGCAATGTCTATCGGCCAAACTGGACAATCTCTATGGGAAAGAATTAATGGACACAAATCAGATATCCAAAAAGGCAACACACAAAAACCTGTTGGAGAACACTGTAATCTTCCTGGACACTCATTAATGGATCTCCAAGTTGCTGTTTTGTTTCAAACCAATTGACCAAGCCAAATACACAGAGATTGATTGGAACTTAACTTCATTCACAAGTTTAATTCTTATGCAAATGGTCTGAATCGTGAAGATGTCTGCACATTATCAACCAACCAAACAATGATGGTGCTAATGGTTCTTGATATCTGTGTAGAGTCTGGTGTTGGTCGTCTTCCTTTCTAACTGATGATTCTCGTATCAGCCTCTTGTAACTATTTAGTCTTTAAGGTGCTACTAGACTATTTGTTGTTTTTAGGTCTTTCCTGTTACAGACTAACTCGGCTATCCCTCTGAAGCTTATCTACTCTCTGTCTCTTTTTTCTTCCTCCCCTCCATTTTTTTTCTCCCCCACCTCCCCTTCTCTTATTTATTCTTGATTCTGGACTTCCAACACTCCTATCATCTGAAGAAGTGGGTTGTGCCCATGAAAGCTCATGATACCATCTACACGTTTTGTTAGTCTTTAAGGTGCTACTAGACTATTTATTGTGTTTTAAGTTTTTTTTATTTATATATAGTACACCCCTCATTACTTGTAGGGAACAGAATATAAATATTGTCTCAGATTATGCAACTGGGCATCTTCTTTCTGAACCAAAATTAGACTCCAGAGGAGCAATGTACATATCTCCTTGAAAAGTTTTACATAGTTGTTTGACTGCTGCACTATTTATGTTCTGTGCACATATTTTACATATCTTCAAAAATTCTTATTAAGTACCGGCCTATACCTTTTGAATGGATATTAGCTTATGGACATTACTGTTTGTTCTCTCTCTTATACAAGCTTCTGAAAGCTTGGTTATTTGGCAAGTATATTTCTTTAGAGTTGAAGTTTTCCATGCTTGCTTTCAGCCCTAAAGGCTGTTTATTTGGAAAATTTGTAAGGAAAAATTGGTTCAGTCGTTTTTGAGTATTGTGTGTGCTAAATTAAAGGAACAGACTTTTCCCATTTCCCACTGCTGTTGTTAGCCCATGTTGCTTTACTACCTCTGTATTGGGTTATTACTACTTTAAAATAAGATTTAAGTTTTGTTGGTAAAATTTAACAAGCTGTTTGATCTATTTATAATTTACAATCTTAAAATGTATGTAAAATGTGTTATTCTAACAATTTAAAGTGACAGATTAAATGCCAGGATGATGTATTGAGGATAAATATGAATAAATCTGTGAGTAGTTTGGCTGTTTTCCCTCAACATTTCACAAGGCATATAATGTAACTTACACAGATCCACTATTATCCTAGGAACAAACTCATAAATGACATACTAAATTTTATAAACTGAATGGAATACTGAAATATGACAAATAATCTGGCCAATGTATTGGTGTTAATTCTCTAGAAGAGCTCCATATGTACCAATTATAACTGCTCCACCAATAAAAATTCCTTAATTTTTTTACATTCACCATCTATTAGCAATAACAATCTCAGCATAGGGCATTTTCTAGAGACTGATGTCTGGCTTACTTAATGACTCTTGGGTCTACATTTTGGGTCGTCAAGCTCTTTGTACCTGATTGAGGATTCCCGAGAACTGCCTAACTGGTCGTTAATATTTAAAGTCATGTGTGATACTAGCCAAACTTAATATGTAGATAATTTTCCAGAATAAATGGGGTCTAGTCTGTCTCTTTTGTCACAATGCTTTCATGAATGTTATTTGAAGAGAACACTTCCTTGACCTGCTTTTGTTGTTTAATCTAGGGATCGATTCAACAACTAATGATCAAACCTGACCCCAGGGCTACTGAAGACCAATGTGAAGATGATGACCCATATGTGAGTACTTGCACGCATACCTCTTTATCTGTTTTTACTGGTTATGTGCCAAGGATTTGAATTGCAATAGAACATTTTTAACACAATAGTTTGGAGCTGGGAGGCAGGCAGTCTTTCTTCATGTCAGATACCAGATGTCAGGTCCAGTGGATGGAGCAGGTGTCCAGGTTGGGGAGCAGAAGCAGAGGTAAGAGCTGGAGTTAACTGTCAAATACCAGAGCCAGGGTGTCCAGACAGAGCCAGGGCCAGAAAGAGAAGCTGGGAATCAGAGCCAAAGCTAGATACCATATGGCAGAGCCAAGGGTTGACCCAGGGTTGGAATCATAAGTCAGAGCTGTAGGTCAGAGCCAGGATTGGTAGCCAATGGTGAGGAGCAAAGTGAGCGGGCAGGAAGAGGAGAGAGGCAGAGATCAGGCATGGAGCAGGAGCAAAGTGGGAGCTAAGAGTGAAGATCAGGTCTGCAGCAAAGCAGGACTCAGAATTCAGATTGCAGGAAACAGTCAAGAGCAGGGGGCAATGTGGCAGTCGTAGCAGAAAGTTTGCTCAGTCGCTTGGAGAACCCTCTCAGCTCACTCCCGAGCTTAAAGTGCAGGTATGCACCAGCAGGTAGCCATAGGTCTTTGGAGCTCTAATTGGACTTCCTTTGGGGCCTGACCTTCCAAGTTTAGAGAGACTCTACTTCATCCTGCTCTTTGGTGGCAACAAAAGTGTGTCAGAGATCTGGGGCCCCTGCAGCCTGGTCTTCTAGACCTGTACCCTCGGTTCTTTACAGAAACAATGGTTATCTCTCTTCTTTGGAACAGATTGAGATGCTTGAAACTGCTTTGTTGGTGTGTTTGGTTCCATGCTGTGCCCATTGGAAGCCAGAATCCTCAAATAACTTTTCCAATCTTTAGTGTCCACCACCTTTGAGACTTTGAGTGGTGACAATCATTTGGCTAATGAACTCCTCTCCAGGCTCGTCTTTGAAAGCTGAGATATGTTAATTTGTAATAAATTGCTGAGCAATACTCATAACAATTTCCCCTCAATGTAACGACAATTGAAAAGTAAAGTAGAAAAGAATCTGAAGAGCTGTTTCATGCTAGAACATAACATTTCTGACCTTGGAATATTCTATACTTACCCTAATAATTTACTTTTTTTGTAGGCATCAGGAGATTCTAGTGGCGCTGGTAGCATTCAAGAGCAGGAAGGAATTCTTGAGACACAAGAAGTCATAGCATCTTCTCCACCGCTAGTAAGTGTCAGCAATTTATCTTTCTCCTTTACCACCCCATTAAGCAATGAGGTGCAAACGCTGCCATTAGATATTAATTTGTGGCACCTTCTGAAGCCAATTGGAGTGATGTGTGCCCAACCAAAGGCAGAATATGGCTTTGAAAGTGCAATTTCCTTTGGGCTTGATAGTGAATTAACAAATCTGCCCTAAGCAAGGGTCAACACATTGTTATGCTGCCCATAGAATTGCCTGTATGGAGGAGTGCAATTTACTGAGGTTTTTTCCCCCTAGAGTTCTCTTGTTTTATAGGTTTACAAGATAGTATTGCAGAATTCTGCCCTCATCTCTTCTCTCATGCCCTTTTTTTAAGCCTCCACAACATTCTATTTACACACATTGATGCTGGGTGATAAGCAGCTAACCTACTGTGTTTTGTTTCAGTACTTTTTAAATCTCTCTTGATGATTCAGCAAGTAGACTCCTGCCTTGTTTATTTGTTCACTGCCTATCTTGTCAACATACAGCTCAGATCTTTCTAATTTACACCAGTGTAAAGCTGGATTTAGTCCAGAATTGCACAGTAGTAGTTAAACGTAGACCATGACCAAAATTTGATATAGATTTGCAGGGTCAGTATCATTCACTATGGGCATGTCTACACTGCGCTCTAAACTCAAAATAAGATATGCCATTTGTGCTATACAAATTGCGTATCTTATTTTGATTAAATTTCAAAATAGCGTATTTTGAAATTTGGCACGTCTACGCAGCACCAAATTTCAAATTAACTCACCATTTCGAGATATCCCTTAGCTCCCGTGGAACAAGGGTTACAGGGATGCTGAAATAGGTCTCGAAATAGCAGATGCGCTATCTTGAAATAGTGGGCATGTTCAAAAGATGTGGGATAGCAAAATATCAGTATCCCAAAATAGCCCCGCTGTGTAGACGTACCCTAAGTGTCCTTGCTCATCCTCTGTGCACTGTATAGCCTTCCTCCCCCAGCTCTCCTTATTCCACCCTGTAGTCTTTGGGAGGCCTGATGAAAGAAGGGATGTATTTTCTGCCCTTATTTAAATAAGTCTTTTGGTACCCTGTAATCCATTAAAAATAATTAATATAAGCAGAGGGATGTCAAATGTCCTGAGAGCTCCTTCGCCCTTTCTAGACTGGCCATATCGGGTACTTGATGAGATGCGAAGTACCATAAATCATGGGCTGTAAGAGTGATTCTTTCTTTAATTCAATTTATTTTTTCCTTCAGAACACAGAATAAAGGTATCCTTGTCTGCATGCCATACAAGAGGACAAGGAGTACCTGAGACCTAGGGACCCCTGCTTAGGTATAGAATGAACCAGAATGGTCAGAAGAAATGTTTCCTGTATAAGAAATATGAGACATTTTTCCTGTACTAAGCTAGACTGTTTTTGTAGACCGTCCCATGTATTATCTTGACTTTTCCATGATCACGTCTAAGTTTCCACAGAGCATACCCTTTTGCAGATTGTGTGCATCCTGCTTCTTTAAAGGAGTAATGTGGCAGGGCATTAAACCAAGTGGAAGACTTTTTGGCTACCGCTTGTGCTTCGGGTGTGTGTGTGTTTTGGTTGAATAGTGAGTTCCATGCTGCAGTGCTGTGGCATGGAACTCTCTCTTGCCGGTAGACTGTTTTTCTTGGTAACCCATGTGTCAGGTAACATGTCTAAAAATAGCCTGCTAACAAGACAAAAATGTACCTACCTTACTAAGTGAAGAGGTGGTGGCTTGCATAAACTTGTAAGGACCACGTAAAGAGTTTGCATTTTCCTCATGAGCAGAAGGTTGCAGTTGAGATTACATTGTTAGCACATCTCCCATTTACATGAGAGGTGAACTAGAAGTAAAATAGTTACTGCCCAGGGCTAAAGTATACTCCCGCATTCACAAGTTTATCAGGCAGCTAAGCGGGGACCTATTGCTTTGATGTGCCACACTTCTGAGATCTCCCCTGCGCTAGACAGGAAACCCCTGCAGAAACATCATGTCAAGGTTTAACCTTGTCAGAATAGTACAGGCATGTCATATCTTCTTGGAAAAAACAATGTAGTGTGTGGTTTCTGGCTCTGTAGCACTGGTCTGCAGTAAATTAGAAACTGGTAATTAAGAATCAATGCCAAGGGAAGTGACAACATCAGCACTGTTGAGGAAAAATGTGGCTGTGGTGTATTATAGGAATGATGAATCTGTGGTTGGCACTAATGGGCGGAGCAAACTCTTCCAGTTTCCTATGGGTCTCTGCAAGGCAGTCACACACATGGGCATTACTAAACCATTGTAAAACTTTTTATACATCTTTAATGTATCTATGTTTCAATTTTTCCGTAAAACAAGACCCACTCTCCCATGTACTGATCTGTTATTTATTTCTGTTATTTTAAAAGCAGTTTGTATACTATGTAGGAAACTAAAGCTAAGAGAGGGTTTGGGTTTTTTTAGAATTACAAAGCTGCTGCTTTCCCTTCAGATTGAAATATTATGCTAATAGAGCACATTCGGAAAATGAATGTTCAGAAGTATTTTGTTATTTAAAACCCTCAAAACAAGCAACATCTATACATTCTGTATTCATTTGATATGCACTTTTCCAGTAATGGTTTGTCATTTTTTAGTGTGCCTTGAAACAAAGAAGGTCTGTGTGAAGTCCTAGTTACAGCTACTGTGAGGCTCTTTGTATGAGATAATCACCCCATGTTTTACATTGCATGGGTTTTTGAGCCAAACAATCATTATCCTGGAGGGAGTGTAAGAATTTATATGAAAGTGCTTTCTTAAGCAACACATATAACTTAGTGTTTTTAAATTGTGTTACAATAATGCCATTAGATTTCAAAAAGGCAGCAACAGTGTATAACTAATGCCTAAGATTTACATTACCTTTTTAAAAAGTTAAGGGTTTTTGCCAAATGTGAAATGTCTAAATGTTACTTGTTGAAACTGTATACTTTCCAAAGGATTTTAATGTGCCTTTTCTAAAGAAACAATGGACATAACCAGATTGACAATGTAATAATCAATACTGTTACTGATAGATGTTTTTGAGAGAGTTTGTATTCACACAATACTATTCCAGTACAAATTGCCAAGCAAACTGTGCAAGATTAATAGTTCAAAGTAGGTTCCCAAGCTAGTCTGGAATGAAACAAGTCCAGAGAAATACTTGACAATATAGCTGCTGAATGATGTCTCTTATTTGCACCAAGAGTGCATAATCTAATTATTTGTATTCTGCTAAATTGTACAGTGCAGTAACAATAGATTGAACAGTTTAGGATATTTCCGTACATTTCAATTCAATGGATTGAACATAGTTTTTCAGCATAGAGGGAATCATCAAGAAAGAGATGGCTCATTTCTAGAACTGCTACTCTGAAAGGAGTTGTTTATGGACACCCGGGTATAGTTTACTCATAAAGTGACCAACATTGGCAGAATTTATCTGTGAGGATCAACATGGGGGGGGGGGGGGGGGGAGGAGAGGGCGAGTCCCAAGGCCAATTACTAAATTCTGCCAAATGTGAGACTGGGATGAAGGAACTGAAAGGAATGTTAAAGATCATTATTTTCTGATTGGATTAATTTCCATTTCTGTACTGTATAATTAGGTAATTGGTTAGTATTCTGGACACCTTCCATTTATAATGCTGAGCTAAACCTCTTGGGTCTTTTCTGTTCTCATACTATCCACTCTCTTTTCTTACATTCAAAAATATGTTTTGGCACCTTTACAACTCATTTCTCATAACCAAGACCTTCCTATGCGGAAATGTAAATGTTGTTAATCAATCCAGCACTCATATTTGGATTATGTGTAATACTTGACAGCCTGTACCAGATTATGCATTTTATTCCTGATTAAATATGGCAATCTACTAAAAGAGGTTTTCTTTAAAGAAAAAAAAACCCCAACAACAACACATCTATTATAGTTAGAGAATTAGGATAAAACTCTGACACGCAGACATGAGTGCCATGAGCGTGCACACAGTCAAATAATTGCCCAGCTTAGCCAAATTGCCACTCTGTGCACTGGTGGAGAGCAAGCTGTGCAGCACCATTGCTTTCTTCTCTGCCTCCACCTCACATGCAGGTAGACAAGAAGTAGGATAGAGTGCCAGTAGTGGATAGCAAATTGGCTGGTGCAAGAGAAATGTATGTTGCACTCTTTAAAATAAGCTCACCTGAATCACAGTTTCTTCCTGGGGCAGAGATGTAAAGCCTTTGTCTAGTCCTTAGGAGGTAGCATTAAAGGTGGCAAAAATAAATTTAAGAAATTCCATCACCTTGTGGCAAAAATATACTATTGTTCTGAATGAGCATTACATCGATCATAGAATTTAGAGATGGAAAAGACATGTGGGGCATCTAATCCATCTCCTGATAAAGCAGGGTTGCTCCTGGCAGGATTCCCTACTCTAATTTCAAATATACCATTAACCACTTGACTTGGGGATTAGTTGTACAGCCTAAAGTCTGGGCAATAGCCAGAGTGTGTAGAACACTTGACACTAGTGTTGACCAGGAACTCTGAGCCTTTGTCTACACTACTAAGTTTTTTGTTGCCAAAAACGGTCTTTGGGTGATAAAATAGTGGGGCTAACTAAGCTAATTCGAACTAGTGCATCTAGACCTAAAAACTAATTCAAATTAGCATTTTGCTTATTCGAACTAGCATGTCCACATTGAGTGGACCCTGAACCAAAGTTAAGGCTGGCCGGAAGCAGTGCCGGCAGGGCATCAGGTTAGGACTTAGAGTATGGAGCTGCTGCCTCAGGCTAGCCCAGGGCTATGCTTGAAGGGACCCCCACCCTGGACAGACAGTTCTCAGGGTTCCCCGCTTGCTTGTCTACCTTGATGAGGGACCTCGTAGAATGAGGTTTACCTAGTTGGAATTAAGCGCTCCACTAGTTCAAATTAAGTTCAAACTAGCGGTTTGTATATGTAGCGCCTGTGAAAGTTAATTTGAACTAACGGCTGTTAGTTCAAATTAACTTTGTAGTATAGACATACCCCGAGAGCGTACATACTGCAATGTGAAACGCCCAGTTTTGGCAACAAAAATCTTTTACCCCATGAGAGACTTTTCTTTTCCCCTTCCTTTAGTGTTGAGAAAGAGCCAGTGTATCTCACAATGCCTGCCCTGATGGGTCTGCTCAGTGTTTTGATCTCTGCTGCTCTGAAGGTGTGTGCCCTTCCCCTTTCAAAGCTCTGGGAAGTATCTGATAGCTCGGTGTGCTGCTCTCTTTGGGGAGGAAACAAAGATCACATTATTGGAATGCAGTTCTTCCCTGAAGTAGGGACACAGTGGCAACAGACTGCTCCTGGGGGAAAAGGGGAGGGGAGACCCTGGAGAGACTGCTATGCTGCTTTAACATTCCTCAGCATGGAGAGCTCCCAGAGTTACTCAGGATGCTACTCCCAGCAGCTGAGGAGACTGTGGGAGAACCTGGGGAGGAGGGGGAAATCCCAAGATATGATCAGCTCTACCTTCCCCTATCACTTCACTGTGAGATACATACCCACAGTGCACTGGTCACACTGTCGATGCCGTGAGGGTGGACACGATCTCTTAACAGAGGGAGCAAGCGTGGACTCCCTCTGGAGATTTTTGTTTTATTGACTTTTGGTTGTCAGCATAAGTTTTGTAGACAAAACTTGGCAGTGTAGATAGAGCCTACATGAAAACAATGGGATGAAGTAAGGAAACAGAATGTTTAGACTGAATATCTTTGGAAGCTCCCTCGCCAGTCCAGGAAAAACCCATTGCCACACTGAAGTTTCTTTCAGGCCATTGCCTCAGGGCATGGTTTATTAATTGAAACATAAACTCCCAAGTGCACACAAAACAAAGCCATTCCCTTGACCAACACAGGCTGCAGGAGCCCAGGAGTCTTCTCCTTTCTTCACCTTCTCCTGCCCCCTGCTTCAGGGCTTGCATAGAACTCCACTTGATTCCTGTTGCACTCTGTCAATCTCAGTTCTCTCAGCCCTTTAGAGGCACCGCTTGTCCCCTTCCTGCTGTGTCTGATAACTGAAGAGGACTGAATGACCCTGAGCCATGAGCCACATACCCTGTCACAGTCATGAAATATTTCTTCCTATGTTGCATTCTGTGAAGGGAAGTGCTGGAAACCCTATTGTCTGTCACATTGACGTCTGAACTCTTTCCTGAGCAAGGGCCTTCTGAACTCAACTGGAAGATGAGAGTTCTCAGCCTCTCACTTGAGGTTATCATCATCTTGTAGCTTTGGGTCCTAAATGTGCAATAACAAACCATTCTGGTCTGGCAGAGAGGTGAGGTAGATGACCTCATGGGTCCTTTCCTTCTCTATAGTCTAAAGGCCAGAAAAACTTCCTCCTACAGAGAAACTTGTGTATGAGCTTTCACAGAGGTGGAAAACTGGGAACTCAAGGAGAATTGAATGGGCTGCACATCTGTGCTGGGAGTGAGATCTCCCAACCACAGAAATCCTGGAGCTTCACTTTAAAAGGACATAGCTAAAAGGCAAGGGCACAGGAACTGTCCGTGCATGGCTGCACTTCTACATATCTCCAGTACTTTCTCTGCCCGTGCAGCAGCCAGGTTGCTATTGCCTTTGTCTCTTCTCTCTGACTGTTCAGTGGGAGTCACAAAGGGAGTTGACCCAGCTCCAAATTCTGTGGACTTCTGTACAGATTTATATATGGATATTCAATGGGTCTGTAGGGAATGCAGCCAACCATTCATACCCTTTTCTCCATACCCCTACAGGACACTTGCAGAGGGGCTGCCTTCTGTTCCATCAATGTACCCCTGAAAAAAGCAATCCCTCTTCCTTGTGCCTGGGGAAAGTGTATGTATGCAGAGGGAATACTTCAGCCCTTTGATTCTAACACAGGTCCTTGTCACCCACTCCATACACCTCCTCTCTGTTCAGTATATTGCTCTTCATCACATATAGTTCTTCAGCCTGTTTTCTTTTTACAGTACTTGGCAGTGCTCCTGTCCAAACCAATGTGAATGAATTTTGAGAGATTTCATGGGTTGTTGTTAAATGCTCTACTAAAATCCAATCGCAATATACATAGTTTATAGTTTTCTTTATCTGTTAATCCATGCAGCCCTGTCAAGTAATCACATTTATGTGGCATGATTTTATTTTTATTACCATTCAGCGTGTTGCTTATTGCTCACTGTTCTGTTCTGTTTTGGCTGTTACAGCAATTTGTTCCCCTCAGTATTTTTCTCATTATCTTTCTAGGGAAGGAAGTCAGATTTTGGGGTGGAATTACCAAGATCACTTTTTCCCTTTTATTAAAGCTTATCTATTATTCAACATTAGTAAAAGGAAATGTTTTATATAAATCTTTTCTCTGCTTCATTTGTCTCCACATTAATGTAAAACATTTGATTCCTATAACTGAACAAAGCCATGCATTCCAGCAGGGATTTTCCATTTCTATCTATTGTTTCTGTGTAGTATTAGTTATAGAGAAGCAGAAGAGGAAAGTCACTGGAGACTGCATTTAGAGGAAAATATATCTGCTCCTCTTTGCAGGAGGCATAGCCATCTAGACTTAACCTTATTAAAGGATTTGTATACACAATGTCCTGTCCTGCATGTTAAAACATGGCAAAGCTTAATACTTTTAAGTTTATTACCATTCAGATTAACAGATTATGTTTAAGGGTACATTAGGCTGTTGGCACCAGTGAAAAGTAAATATCACAAAAAAGTATACAAAAGTAAAGGAAAAGATAAGATGACCTGTAACCTGTTAGAGCAAAGGTATTTGAAATCCAGTGTAATGAATGGAAAGACTCCTGCTGACCTCACTGGGAATTGGATCTGGCCTACTGTGAACAAGACTTTTGTTATTCTTTCCTCTTTTAAGTTTTGAAAGAAACTGAGAGTCAGAATTGATTTCCTAAAACAAATATGGGCATGTCTACACTGCAGTTAGTCGCCAGTGACTGCCCCGTGCCGGCTGACTTCAGGTAAGGGGCTTGGGCTAAGCAGTTGTTCAAATGTACTGTAGACATTCAAGCTCTGGGACCCTCCTGTGATTGAGGTCCCAGAACTCAAGCTCCAGCCCAAGCCCAAGCACCTCTGCTGCAGTTAAACAGCCCCTTAGCCCGAGCCCTCAAGCCTGAGTCAGCTGGCACCAGCCAGACACGGGTTTTTAATTGTAGTGTTGACCTACCCTGTGTTTCCTCAGAGCTTTACACGTAACTAAAGAGAAGCCGTGAAGCCTCCAACAGCTGGTTTTTTTTTAATACAAGTAGCAAGATTCAAATCTGGAAAAAGCAAGAATTGGCACCCACCAATTATAATTGTGGTTTGTATTGTGATAGCACAACGGGGACTAGGGTGCCTATGTACTAGGTACCGTATAAACAGAACAGTCTCTGTTCCAAAGGGTATTCAGTCCTCTTCTCATTGCTTTCATGGTTCTTCTTTTTTAGTGTGTGCTCTGTTTCCATTGATATCAATGAGACCTTAGTTCATGCTTGAGTGCTGTCTTGAAAGGACCTGGAACCTTATATCTAATGCTTTATTATGAAACACACCAAATGCCTTGAAAGGTTTTTCCCTATTGTAAACACATTAAAACACACAAGAATAATACCAGGCTAATGGTGTTTTAGGGAAAATGCCATTTTTGTACACGTATAACAAAATATGTTAAAATGCCTTATTATTATTGTGTGCAGTTTTGCCAGATTTTTTTGGCCCACTCCAAATGCTCCATGTTGCTATGGCAACAAAAATCACATTTAAACCTGGCGTAATTAGCCAGTGGAGAACTGAGTAGGGCAGTCAGCTCTGTCCCAAGCCTCTGAGAGGTAGTCTATATAAACAGTTAGTACATGGCAAGCTGGGATGTAGCGACCTCACACTAATGTGCCACACACCAACTGTCCATGTGGACTTTGCTGCTTGGCACTAAAAGTTCTATAATGCTCTTTGGTCTCCTCCCATTACAAAGTGTATAGATGAAAGTGCACTACAGAAATTTTACTCATGCCAGAGAGTGCCCACAGACAGTTAATGCATTGGCAAGGCAGATTTACCCCCCAAGCTTGCCACATAGTAACCGTTTATATACACAAGCTCTGAGCATCTGCAGTGTGGTAGGTGTATTCCTACACTTACCTGATCCCAGGCTGCTGAAATTGTCCCTATTGCTCATGGGCAGCCAGCAGAAGACAGAGCAAATAGCCAATTGTCAGCTCCAAGAACAAGAAGCCACAATGGTGGCTTAATGCCACCTGTGCTCTCTACAGGCTTGTGCCAAATGTATCTTACCTGACCTGAAGGATTTGGGTTTCAGGAGAATCTGTTTGCTAGACTTTCAGGAGAATTTTGTTGAAACTTACATACATATTGTATGAAGTTCATAATAAAACCATTTGGCTATAAATTAGTGAGATGGTCCCTGCCAAACAAAAATGAGGTATTTAAGAAAGAACAGTGATCAAAGAGGAAACAAACTTTATTGTGAACATAACCCTGTGCTAATACTGCATGTTAGTAAATGTTAATTTTATTAGTACCTGCCTCTTAGCAGTAACTGAAAACATATTCAAAAAATTGTGCACCTGTTCCTAATAATGCCTAAAAAATAATCTTTGAAAGAAAACCAAGACTCTAGTTGTACTTCGTAAATACAGCAGGCTTGTGAATGCTCTGGAGTAGAACAAACCTGCTGATCATTTTGTATAGTAATACTTTTTCTCAGGAATAATGATCAGATAGGTTTTGCTTTCCTTTCTTGCTCAGCAATTGTTTGGGAATTTATTTCTTTTAGCCTGCGGAAATAACAGCTGAACCTGTAGAAGCACCTCCAACTGTATCAGCTCAACTGGAAGAAATTGATTTCTCAGGACATCATATATCAGACGAAACATCTGAATCACCTACAATCAAAAAACAAGGCACTATATATTACCTCTTTTACTACTTCTGTGCTCTTCAGGGTCAGGCCTATGGAACATGTGTGAAATGTTTTGGGTGCTACCTGAAATATACATCATGATTCTAAATATCTTAAAATAAATGTTCAATTCATTATGATTGGCATCTCCTCAGTGCTGTACGTGATGAGCCTACAGCAGGGTAAAATGCATTTTCCCCCAAACGGTTATACTTTGAATTTTTCACATGGTCCATTGTAACAGTGGATATAGGTAGAGACTATCCTGAGTCCCTCCTGAATCCCTTTTTGCTAGCCAGATCGTTTAACCTCACCCTGGGCAAAAAAGATCTTTAGGTCTTCGATGTACAAAGAGCAGGTGTAGCCCTCCACTACATCAAAGATGAGTCCCAATCAAGGCACTATTTTAAAAAAATATATTTTATTTAAGAGGAAAAATAGACGTAATAAAGAATTTAAGTGAATTCCCTGTCTGTATGATTCTCAATGGACAGCAATGCAAATGATCAGACATGCACACCCACCAGCTCTGGTGTCTTGCAGTCCTCCAGTAATGTACCTGATCAACTGTGCATTACTATATGTAGGAATAATTTTTACTTCTTTAACTAGGAGCCTGGACCTGTCATTACCCCATATCAAAATGTATAAATATATATGTTGTTAGTTCTAAAATTATCCACCCCTTTGAAAAATTTAGCTCCAGGAATTATGTGATCTCTTATGGTAGTAAATTCTGCACACTTGACAACACTGTTATTTACCAAGTAATGTCTGTGTACCACACAAACAAATATATTCTTGCCACATCCTGTGACACAGGGGAGTATTGTCCCCAGTTCACAGTGGGGAAACAGGTACAGAGAGATTAAGGGTCAAATTTTGGCACCTCAAGATACAGATAAGTGTCTAGTATGGTTTTCAGAAGTGCGTAGGCATCTAAAGTTAGGTTGATTTCAGTAAAAAACCTCTGAAGCTGTTGATTTCAATGGGAGTTAGGTGCCTAGGCAATTTGAAAATCAAACTTTGTCGCTATCTGTATCTTTAGGCACCTGAATACCTTTACAAATCTGGCCCTAAGTGACATGGTCAAGGTCAAACAAGAAGTCTGTGACACATCCAAGAACTGAATCCATTCTTCTTGAGCTCCAATCTACTATTTTAGCCACAGGATCAGTTTTCCTCACTCAAGGTGAATGACTAATTTAACTTTATCATCATGACCACCCAATGAATGACAAAGTGAGAAACTGTGAGGGGTAAAAAAATGTAAAGTGCAAGGCACCAACCTCTGCATTGCATGTGTAGAGCATTCGTATGTAAGTGCCAGGTACAAAGTGCTAAGCAGGGCACAAGCACAGAGGAAAACCCAACCGCCTCCCATAGTGAGAAAATCACAGCACACAACTACATTACCACAGCAGGGGCTAGTTATAGAATCAAGGCCAGAGAGGAGACTGCATAACTAATAGTCTCACTTGTAGACAGAGGATTATGCTTGAGCCAGCAGTTCCTCCAACAAACCTTGCAGGGCACATCCCTCATTTTTAAATCTGCGCAGTTGAAAACTAGGTAGTGGGAGGGCAAAGGGCTGAAGCAAGAAGATCATCCACTGCACTCTCCTTATCTCACTCATTCCTACAGCATGGCCCCCTCTTTTGTGCCCATCTTCTTCATTCTTTTTCACTTATTAGTTTTGTTTTCACCCTAACCATCTTTCAAAGTTTTTGAAATGACTGTATAAACTCCATCCTTCTCTATCACAGAAAGCTTTTTTCCCTCTGTTTTTATTTTTGCCTTGGGTTTGGGGTTTTCTCTTCTTCTTTCCCAATTTGTTTTTTGGTTTGTGCATTTTTGTCAAATACCAATTATTTTCGTTCTTTTACCTTATTATATATGTGCTCCTCTTTCCTGCTAAATTTATTTTATTTTATTTTATTTTATTTTATTTTATGTTCAACCAATGCAGGAAATGATCAACATGAAAGAGACACCACTACGATAGCCCAGGAAATACTAAAACAAGAAACTGGTTCTGGTGCTATTATTTTGCAAGGAGAGAGAGAAGTACAGGTCCGTATGGATGGTTTACTATGTTGCTCCTCATTGTGGCTCTGACTCAGGAAAGCACTCGGGCATATAATTAAGTACTTTCCTGAATTAGCATCTTTATCCTTTCCAACTTGCTATAATGTTTGTGGTGATTGGTTATTTGTACACTTAAACAGCTATGTTATCTCATGGTGATGTTGTCTTCAATCTTACTTGAACTATGGGACAGTTCAGATGCAGATCCAAACTTTCCTGTTCAGACTGAGCTATAGACACAGCAAACATGTATTTTTTGATCTCAGCTACTTTTACTTTAGTTCAAAGAAGCAATGGAAAAAGAATATATATATCCTCAAAGTGAGAGTCTGGATTTGTTGTTTATTTTATAAAAGCCATCTTGAACTAAATTGTAGAGACAGCATGGCAGACTAGGGGTCTATTTTATTCCGACAGGTGTAGTAGTACACAAAACACATTTGCAATTACAGAGAATGCTCCATGTTGAGGGGCTGATCTTACAGTCTTTACCCAGGCTTCATGGGGAGTTCCCTCTGGAGTTCATTGGGAGTTTTTACCTAGGCTTCATTGTGAGCTGGGTTGCCTCCCCCCTCCCCAGTGCTCCAGGGATGCAGGAGCTGCACACCCTCCCCCTCCCCACTTCCCAGTGCTCCAGGTAGATGGGATGTGGGAGCTGCACAGTCTCCCCCCTCTCTGGTGCTCCAGGGAGCTGTGTGGCCTCCCCCTTTCCTTTCCCCAGTGCTCTCGGGAGGTGGGACATGGGAGCCGTGCGGCCTCCCCCTTCTCTGGTACTCCAGGGAAGTGGGAGCTGCGAGCTGCATGGCCTCCCTCTCCCCCACTTCCAGCCCTTTCACGCACCCCCTCCACCAAAACCCTGCACACCCCAGCCCTCTCACTCATACCTCCCTAAGCCGAGACCCCACACTCCCAGCCCCCTCACTCACCATCCTGCTGAGACCTCACACCCTCTTCACCAAGACCCCACATCCTCAGTCCCCTCACTGATCCCTTTCACTGAAACCCCTGGCCTGCTTCTGCTCCCTCCCCCGCCCCCCGGCCAGACACCTACTCCCGGGGGGGGTTGGAGGGGTTGGCAACCATAGTGAGCAGTGGTGAGCATAGTGAGCAGTGGTGCAGACCCCTAGTTTATAATTATGGACTGTAAAAATGCTGGAAATAGTATCTTTCAGTTGACTTCATATACTGCTGTAGTGCAAAATGTTTACTGTAAAAGTGAAACTTAGAAATGTATATTTTTTTTGTACATAACAGCACTCAAAAACCAAACAATGAAAAACTCTAGAGCTTATAAGTCCACTTGATCCTACTTCTTGTTCAGCCTATCACGAACACAGACAAGTTTCTTTACATTTACTGTCTTCTTCATATTTACAATATCTCCTGAACGTGAGAACAGCAGTTCTCATGGAACTTTTATAGCCAGTGTTGCAAGGCACTTATGTGCCAGCTATCCTAAACTTTCATATGCCTCTTCGTGCTTTGGCCACAATCTGAATTCTCACCTTTTGTTTCTGTTTTTCCTTTGATACGTGTACTCCCAGCTCAGGGGAGTACAAATAAAACTTTTATTCCACCTTTAATAGGAAGATAGAGCATTGCTATGACTTTAAAAAAAATAAAACCTAGACACATGGCTTGACATGTTCTTTTGATATTGTGCTTTACTATACTAGTCACTGATGCCTTCCACCTCCCTTATCAATTGTCTGTATTTACTAATTTACTCATTGCTATCCACTTCCTAATTTTTTTTCATATATGTGGTAATGACTTTCACTTCACTTACCAGGTTTATTTTTTTAACCAAAGAAGTCTTATTTCATGATTACTGGAGTATCTATGTGTGTGGTGAGGATGTTGGATTTTTTTTTTTTTAGTTGCCTAAAAGAGCATTCTTAAATAATGACCATTATTGTTAACATATTTATGTTTACATTTTTAAACCAACTTTAAAACATGTATATGTTGCTGGTTGGGGACTATATTCTTTCTGCACATAACCACTGAAATTAGGTCATGACCAGCATAGGCAATCATCTCATTTTAGTAGAATGATTAATTAACCTTGATCAGTCAGAATGAGGTTAAATATCCTGAGAGATGTTTGTAGAGAACCTAGCACAATGCCACCCCAAACTGGACTGAGGCCTGCAGGTACAATGGCAATATATATTAAAACAATAGGAACAAAATAATAAAGCCGATTATTATATATTTCACATTCTTAGGGTCAAAAAGGTGACAGAGGTGAAAAAGGAGAACAAGGACCACCAGGGCCACCAGGACCACCAGGAAAGTCGGGACTAGAAGATATGCAGACAGGGATTCAAGGAACTCTTGGACCCCCTGGATCTCCAGGAAAACCTGGGCGAGATGGTGAGCCTGTAAGTACTGCATCTCTGTTGAACCCATGCAAATCATCTAGACCAGTGGTTCTCAAACTTGAGCAACCCAGGGACCCCCATTTTGATTTAATTTTTTTTCAGGGACCCCTTACCCCATGCCTGCAGTGAGACCCCACCCCTGCCATGCCCCCTTTTGAGGCCATGCCCTGCTCACTCCATTCCCCCCTCTCACTGTCCCCCATCCTCATTCACTTTCACCTCATTGGGCCAGGAGGGTGGAATGTGAGAAGGGGTGAGGGCTTCATCTGGGGGTTTAGACTCTGCAGTGGGGCCAGGGATGAGGAGTTTGGGTACAGGAGGGGGCTCTGGGATGGGATAGGGGTTAGGGGATTGGAGGCTCTGGGAGGGACTTTGGTTATGAGAGGAGACTCTAGGCTGGGGCAGGAGGATGAGGGCTCCCACTGAGGTTCTGGGTTCTGGGGTGGGGCCAGGGCGAAGGGTTTGAGTTGCAGGTGGTAGCTCGGGACTAAAGGCAGAGGGTTGGGCTACAGGAGGAGGTTTGGGATCCCAGCAGTACTTACTGCGGCTCCCAGGAAGCAGCCACCAGGTCCCTGTGGTTTCTGGGCACATGAGCAGCCAAAGAGGATCCACATGGTGCCCTCACACCTGCGAGCTCTGCCTCTGCAGCTCCCATTGGTCATGGTTCCTGGCCAATGGAACCTGCAGAGCCAGCACGTGGGTGAAGGCAGCACATGGAGACTCCCTGTCTGCCCATGAACCTCGGAGCCTCAGAGACTCCATGACCACTTCCAGGAGCTGCATAGAATCAGGGCAGGTAGGGAGCCTTTGCTCCAGGACGAGGAGGTGTTGATCACAAGGGCTTGCGGACCCCCTGGAGTTCCCTCATGGACCCACAGAGGTCCACAGAGCCCAGTTTGAGAAATGCTGCTCTAGAGAGAGCAGTATTCACTCATCACACCTAGGTGAAGGGCTGTCTCTACTGCCTTACACCTCATGTAGCCAAAGCGGGTGTTCAACCATACCTCCTCAGAATGGTAGTCTTACTCTTCTGCACATGTGTCAATGGTTCTACACGGTGCCTAGCCCTGTCGATTCAGGCCCAAAGCATATAAAACATCACAACGGCTGAGGTGTCAGCCAAGCTTCTCAAGGAGGCGCTTGCATTCTGAGAAATGTTGGATGGGTAGGTTGCGTAGTTGACAAGATGCATGTTTTAGGTACCTCTGTAGGATGCAGCTTCTGGATATACAGAGTGTCTTATCCTTCACTCTCTCCTTGATCACAAATACATGCCCCCAATTGAATACGGATACAAAATAGTGCATCTGGTAATACAATACAGAGTCCAAATATGGTTGGATATTTTGCCACAGCAAGAAATACTGGCCATTAAAATGCAGCTCTTTGTTTTCATCTCTCTTCTACTACTGCATTCCTAGGGTGACCATGTTTCCCCAAAGGGGCTGACCCAAGGGGCTGACCCAAGCCCTCCCCTGCCGCTTGCCTGAGCCTTGCCCCCTCCTGCCTGAGTGGGGCTTGTGTCTCTGCTCTCTCAAGCCTTGCCTGCTCTCCACCCCTTCTCCATCTCCCCTTCCTTTTTTGACAAGTATGGTCGTTTGTCCCATATGCCCTGGCTAACTGACCAACTTGGCAAGAGCCAATGGGACAAACTTACACTTTTGACCAAAGAAGTTGGGACAGGGCATAAAAAAGGGACATATGCTCACTCTATTCATACATGTTCTATTTACCTCTCTAAAATGGGTGTTTTCTTTTAGGGCATTCCCGGTAAAGACGGGTTGCCAGTAAGTACCTTTTTTGTGCCTATTTTATTTCATTGAATTGAGAGACTCTAACATGTCTTTGCAGACACACGACTAAGTTTGAGCTTAAGATATACAATGCTCTATTGAAATTCTGCTCTCAGGACGCAGCTTTGCTGTCTGAACAGATTCAGTATGTTACGGTAAAAAGCAAGAAGAATGTAATTTTTGAAAGTGTATCACAAGCACGTGGTATAGACCCCTGCCAGACAGATGACCAGCCTTGACTGAGCATGGACTGTTTCACGTGGAAGGTACCATGTTTCTAAATAGATTTCAAAAGTCCTAGAGTCTTTCTTCTGTTTTGTGAATACAGCCTGTCTCCGACTTACAAACCGGTTACGGACCAAGCAATTGGTCGTACCTCGGTTTGTTCGTAAGTCGGACCCCATTGAGTTACACGCGACCGCGCTGTTCGTAAGCGCAGATCACGTTCGTAACTCGGGGTCCGCCATTTATGACACTTTTGGTCGTAACTGAGAACGGTCATAAGTCGACCGTTCGCAACTCGGGGACTGGCTGTAGTGTTTAAGATTGGCCAATAGCTTAAACTAACCCCTTTACCATGACTTATGGCTGTTGAGCTTTGTAACCATGTTTGTAACCATGATATCAGTTAAGGGATGCATTGAAGCATCAGTTTCACAGTTGCTTCTCCTTTCAGTCCCTTTCTTCTAGCACTTAACACAGTAGTGGGCAAATACTGGACAATGGGCCAGATCTGGTATGTCAGGGTTAGCCACTGGCTACCATATTTACCTGCGCCCCCACAGGTATGGGGGATTGCAGCTTCTGTTGGCCATGGATTGCTGTTCCTGGCCAATGGGAGCTGGATCACCTGTACCTGCGAAGGTGCAGGTAAATATGGCAGCAGTGGTCCAACAGGGGCTAACAGGAAGTTTAGCAGGAAGTTTTTTGTTTACAGTTATTTAAGTTAGTACAAGGGAAATCCCAAGAAGAGGATATACTTGAACCCTTTTCAGTGTATGTCCGGTGTTAAGGGCAAGGTAATAACAATATGGGATTATCCACCTTAGACAACCGCACTTATCCAATTCCCAGCTGCTGCTGCTTCTCCAGCTCCCATGCCTAACCTCAGCTGGTGCAATCCTTCTTCCAGAGCTTCCTCACCCCCATTCCTCTGTGTCCTCAGCTCTATCCTGTTAACTGACCTGCACCACCTGCCTCACTTCCTCGCTCCACCCTGCCCACAACTACCATGTACACCTGATCACCACTTCTCTGCTCATTTCCCCCCACCTCAGTTGCTCTGTTGCACTTTCCTCCCCTGCCTCAAACCTGTCTCCCAGCTTCTGAAACTCACCCCCATTACATTGTCCCAGGGCATTTGTCACCTGCTGCTGTTCTGTGTGAATGTCCTCCATGCTGAGGTGTCCCCCAGAGGCTTCTCATCTGTGTCATTCTGCCAGCCTTCTCCCACGCTCCCATGTCTCTGGCTTCTCCTCTAGCTGCCACATTCCATCCTTTCTCCCAGGGTCATGTGTTCCCCCTCACACCCACTCTCCTTTCATCTCCTGTAACCCACATGCCCTCTACATGCTCTAGTGTGACACATCTTCCATCTCCTGAGGTGTCCCCCAGAGGCTTCTCATCTGTGTCATTCTGCCAGCCTTCTCCCACGCTCCCATGTCTCTGGCTTCTCCTCTAGCTGCCACATTCCATCCTTTCTCCCAGGGTCATGTGTTCCCCCTCACACCCACTCTCCTTTCATCTCCTGTAACCCACATGCCCTCTACATGCTCTAGTGTGACACATCTTCCAGCTACACTACCTACATGACTTTTTTCTATTCCCCGCCCCCCCACCCACTCCTTCCCTCCCTCATGCAAGAAATCCTTTGGGTGGGGAGATTTTCATGCACTTCTTTCCCCTTCCAGAAATCTCCTACACTAATGCTATAATCTTTGTCTGTTCCTTCCCTCTGCAAACATTCTTTGGGGGTAGGTCACAGTTTTATGCTAGTCAGTACAATTAATCCAGTGTTGAGGAGGTTAATAATTCAGCCCAACAGGCAAGCAAAAGCTTCATCTGTCTGCAAATCTCTGTACCTATTCCATCCTCAGAGAAATCTAGTTATATTTGGAGAAGGTCAGTTCTTACTGAGGAGAAAGGAGTTATCATTAGAAAAGGTATATCTGCAAAAGAGGCTGGCATTATCAGCTTTGCACTATGCTTTCTTGCTCCTAGCATTCTAATTTTAATCAGAACACTTTTTATACAAAAGCCATGGCAAATGTTCTGTGGAAAATTTTTCAATTATATAAAGCAATTAGGATTTTTTTCATTTCTTCCGGGGGAATATTTTAAAGTAGCCTGTGTGCAAAAACTTGTTGAGGTTTTTTTTTCTTTTACGGATCACAGTATTATGAAGAATCCTTTTTCCTCCCTTAGCAGTCCTGTTGCCCCTTATTTATATTCTGAAATGATTTTGTCTGAGTGCAGTTAGACCTCTATCCTGATAATATTTTCACACATTCTCCATTATGTTATTGTATGCAGTCTCACTGAAATCAGTTTGCAGTAGTTCAGGAAAGCACATGTGCAGATGTTTGCAGGGTAGCAGCCTTAATGCATAAAAAGTATTTTGCCACAACCCTTATACCAATTAGTCACCAGAGAAATCCATATTAACCCCCCATAAAAAAAGTCAGGTAGGTACATATACCTATTACTGTATCTAGTTCATGGGTCTTTACTGTTAGCACAGTGGTATCATGGTTAAACTCTGACAGTGTCTATGATTAATACACACTGTTGTCCAGAGTTCCTTGGAGAAAAGGTTCACATAAATCTGAGTTTCATTTTCCTTCTGGATTTCCTTCCAGAATCTTAGGGAAGTTGGCTCTTTTATTGCACTTCATTGCTGTATCCTGTACCACTTAAAATCAATGGGAACTTGGTTATAGACTTTGATGAGCAAAGGCTCAGGGGCTTACATAGAATAGTGCATATGCATGTTAGAATGAGAAGAAGATACACCATGGGACAGGAGAGAGATTTGGGGTTTGGTAGTTGAGATTTATCAAAAACCTGAGGATTAAAAGAAAACTTGAGGCCTGATACTGCAAGGTACTAAGTAATTTCTGTGAGATGCTGAGTATCCTTAGCATCCATTGAACTCAACGGAAATTGAGGATGCTCAGCATCTTGCAGGATGGGGTTTTCAGTGATTCCAGAAGGAGATTAGTGCAATCGTGTTGAGGCATCCTACATGAGCTGTGGCACCTCAAATGGTAGCTTATAGCAGTAGAATTGCCAAAGTATTTCCACAGGAAAATATCTCACTGTCCTCTTCCTTACTGCCTATTACTTTGGTATGACACTGAAAGTGGTGACTTCCAACATATGTTTTGGAAATGAATAAATTAGGTCAGGGGAAGACAAAACGCCAGCCTGGAATTTGCCTACTATGATCTCGCTGAGGAAAAGCAGAATAGATAGAGAGCTATTCCAAGAGTTGAGGTCATGCTCTTCTTGTCTCGGTAAAGGTCTGCTAATATATTCATCGGTCATAGACACTTGAGAAAAATTGAATAAGAACATTGCACATTCTAGCTTCTTCCCAAACAGACTATTGCACTTTTCCTATAGGTACCCATTTTTTGGGAAATGTCCATCAGTTATAGGAATGATATTTTAATGGAATGAAAATATTGAATAAAAATTTCTTTTTAGGGTGAAAGAGGACTTCAGGGATTGCCAGGGTTGAAGGGAGAAGACGGCCTTAAAGGAGAAAAGGTACGTGTCCTATTAGTGTTTAAGAACCAATTGGATAGCTACCATTACTCTTTGCTTTGTGTTAATTTGATATGTTATGAAGGGGAATAAAATACAAAAAGCACAAGAAAAATGTTTGCACCCTTTTCTCCCAGCATACTTTTATTCAGAGGCCACTCATAATAAAACCCTAAGGATTTTGCCAGAAGACAGATTAATATAGCGCTTATAAGAACATAAGAATGGCCATACTGGGTCAGACCAAAGATCCATCTAGCCCAGGAGCCTGTCTGCGCACAGTGGCCAGTGCCAGGTGCCCCAGAGGGGGTGGACCGAAGACAATGATCAGGCAATTTGTCTCATGCCATCCATCTCCAACCTCTGACAAACAGAGGCCAGGGACACCATTTCTATCCCCTGACTAATAGCCTTTTAGGGACCTAACCTCCATGAAATTATCTAGCTTCTCTTTAAACTCTGTTATAGTCCTAGCCTTCACAGCCTCCTCTGGCAAGGAGTTCCACAGGTTGACCACGTGCTGTGTGAAGAAGAACTTTCTTTTATTAGTTTTAAACCTGCTACCCATTAATTTCATTTGGTGTCCTCTAGTTCTTCTGTTATGGGAACTAATAAATAACTTTTCTTTATTCACCCTGTCCACACCACTCATGATTTTATATACCTCTATCATATCCCCCCTTAGTCCCCTCTTTTCTAAACTGAAAAGTCCCAGTTGCTTTAGCCTCTCTTCATATGGGACTTATTTCAAACCCCTAATCATTTTAGTTGCCCTTCTCTGAGCCCTTTCCAAGGCCAAAATATCTTTTTTTGAGGTGAGGAGACCACATCTGTACATAGTACTGAAGATATGACATACCATAATTTTATACTTCCCCTCCTCCTTCTTCCCCTGGCTTCCCCTTTCCAGCTCCCTCCTCCCAGGTTTCCCCCTCCCCTCTCCCACCCTCTCTCTTCCCCTCTCCCACCTCCTTTTCCCAGTCTCCCCAGAGGTTAATCCCCCCCACCTCCAGTTTTGTTAAATAAAGAGAGTTTCTATTTTTGAACACACGTGTCCTTTATTTTGTACATCAGGAAGGGAGGCTAGGGAGGGGTAAGTGGAAGGAGGTGAGGGAGGTCATCTTAGTAGCAGGAGAGGTCATGGGTTAAACACAGCACTGAGAGAAAAAGCTGCATTCGGATGTTCGTGGCTAACTCAATAGCCTCAGTCAAGACACTTAACTTTTCTGCCTTTCTTTCCCATCATAAGGATGACACGTACACACAGTACGTCACAGAAGTAATGGCTGATGTCAGTGAGTTGGCTGATATTCGTAAGGCACTCTTTTACAAGTGCTAAGCATACTCAGAACATGGTGAAAACCAACCAGGAGCCCTACGACCACTTTTCTGCAGAATTGCTTCTTGGAATTTTTTTAAAATGTTGGCAGCTAAGTACAGCCTCCAGCTAGACACCACACTTGCAGCAACAGGCTGAAAGGATAGAAGGAGATTGTATATAAACGGGAATGGGAACAATGAATTAGTTTTAAGTTCCAAGGTTGCACCAGAAGACCATCCCACTAACTCTGCTTTGCCAAACTGGTATGATTAACTAATTCCTTTCCATAGCACATGTAGGGAACAGGAATGACCTAACAATTGTTTTCCTGGTTTATACAAAAATTGTGAAGATTAGCGAAAATCTTGAAAGGGTGCCTGGCATCTCTTGGCTTCTGAGTACACTTTAAAGTGTCAGCACAAGCTTCAGGATCTATCAGCGAGTCTCTATCTGCCTTTGTTGCAGAATGGGAAACCAGCAATTGCTGCATCCTAGAGCAGGTTGGAGAACTGGCTGCCTTGTTGGTGGGTTATCAATTTGTTTTGTAAACTTTGTGCAGTCCATAGATAAAGCTATGAGAGGCACTTTCAGAAATGCTTACATAGTAGGCTTCTGTAGATAACTACAATCCAGATTTAAGAATTTGAGGGGGAGAGAGATTGCCGACCCCAATGATTACAAAGTGGTAAAAATTGCACAAAATCAAATATAAAAATCAACTAGTACTAATGTTTTAACAGAGCATACAGCATCAGAACTAATAAACAGATGCTGTAATTATGCATGGCTGCAAACAAGGAGAATAGCCAAAAGCTAACTTAATACCAGCACTGTGGATATGAATATGGTAAAAATAAATGAAAGATACAAGAGAAAGAACATTTAAAGAGTATCACTATAGAAACCACTTGGAAATACTGAATAGAAGCAAAGAAACAAATGAATACATTCATTTAGTGACAGGTCAAAAACAGTCAACTTGTTTGCTTGGTTGTGATTGTGACACAATCAAAATTCTCATTCTAGTTAATAAAATCAGAGCCAAGTTTACAATAGGAATAGGAGCAGAGGGAGATGCACTTGCAGATGACCATTCAGAATAATTAAAGGAAAGCATAGAACACTTGGCTATCTGGGATTATGGGGTATCTATCTGCTGCATCAGCTTCTTGAAGAAAACTTGCCGACTGTAGGAACATTTTTCCTTCCCCTGCTGCAGAATATGGAGGCAGATCACATCCTTCAGCCCCAAAGACTCAAACGTGTGGACAGAGGCTCATACTATATAGCCTTCCTCCTTCCAAAAAACCCCTCATAGAAGCAGGCATGCATACTCACTATCTCACAAAAGGCAGTGTGGCCTAATAGACAGAGCACTGGATTTGGGGTTAAGTAGACCTAAGTGTCTATTCCCAGCCTTGCCATTGGTCTGTCGGGTATCCTTGGACAAGTCATTTTTCTGGGTCGGAGCCACCGTTTTCCCATCAGTCAAATGGAAGATAATGATACTGACCTCCTTTGTAGAGGGCTTTGAGATCTATTGCTGAAAAGCCGAGATACAAACTAGGTTTTATTGTTGTTATACATTGGAAATGGACCTCCCAGGAGCTGAGCAAGAGGGAGACCATCACTTCCCTTACGTGTAGACACACATCAGCAATAGCAGATAAATAGTAAGACCAAATTCATGTCAGACCCTTAATCCATTTACTTGAGCTTTTAGGAACTATGGGCTCAGGTCCATGAATGCAACAGATTTCAAAGCCAAGCACAGTCTGAGTGACTCTGACGTTCAAAGTGAATATTTCACATCACTCCATCAGTATTTTGGGTGCACAAATCCATCTAATGTGCAGACACCAGGGAAAGGCAAATGCATCTCACCTGCAGTCACATACAAGGTATATGTGAGATGTCTATTGCTGACATACATGGAGAGCTAATATTTGGCTTGTGTACTTCAAGTATTGTTCACATTTAAATTGATTGTATTAATTATTCAATTATTACAACATGGTGCTTTTCAAACACCAATAAAGACACATTCCTTTTCCCCAGAGAGTTCATAATCCAAGGGCCAAACCCTGCTCAATTCTGTGAAATATGAGGCAGCAATGGAGAAGCAGGGGGAAATAAATGATCAAAAGCCTTTTAATTTATTACTGAAAGCTGTGAAGAAGTGGAGCCAGTGGAAGGATGGGAGTTCTGGTCCGATTGCAGCAGGTCCGGAACAGGATCTTAGCAGCTGTACTATGAATGGACCTTTGGGAAGGGTGAAGTGGCTGTTAGAAAGGCCAGATAGGAGCAGGTTGTAGGAGTCGGGGGGAAATGACAAGACCATTGTACTTTTCCCACCAGCTGTGTGGGCAATGGGGAAAAGTACATTAGACAGTAGTTTTGGAACGGATGTGGAGGGGAGTTGTAATGTTAAGAAGGGAGGTGTCTCCCTTTTTTCATATTATTTGCATAAATAATGCAGTTTATGCAAAAGTTTATGCTAACCCCTTGTCTCACAATTGGCACTGCTAGTACAATTGCAAAATTGTTTGAGAAGCTAGAGATGGAAAAGACCTTGCACAATATTGTTTCTCTGCCAATGTAGGGTTATTTCCTAGAATACATTTCCCAGTGCTTTGTTCATTCTTAGTAGTTTTATTTTATCCTAATGATAATTTCTCATGGGAATTTATTTCACAAATGAATAAACTTCACATCCCTTTCTAGCATTTAAACAATAGTCTTGTGTTTGTCTTTGTAAAATACAGTTATGCCTAAGGAAGCCAACTAGGGCCTACAAAGCTAGTGCAGTTTCATGAAACATGATAAAACATGGTCTGAAACATTAACTGCTTCATATTTATTCTTCTTGTAGGGTGAACCCGGTGTGGGGCTGCCAGGACTTCCAGGCCCACCTGGCCTATCTGCTCCATTCAGAGGACCTGTGAGTTTCTGAGGGTGTCTGACAGTTAGCTTTGCTTGTCTTATCCTTTTGTAGAGCGAGGTAAAACTTAACGAGGAGGTGCAGCGCAGTCTGAGGAAATAATCTTATAGCCAATACATATAAAAGCACAAAAAGAGCACATGCAATAAAGCAAACACACATTTATACATGATTGACTTAGGCCTGTATCCCAATCAGCACATACCCATTGAGTGGCCTAAATTGGAAGTGGGCAAATGTGTGCACATTCTTTTGCAAAAAAAAAAAAACCATTTCTAAAAGTCTGAGCCAAAAATATCAATGAGATTTCTCAGAAAAAACCTGTATTAGACACTAGAAAATCTGAATTACTCATTTCCTTCCCTTCCCTAACACAGGGGTGGTTTGACAGTCCTTTGTACTTGCTGTTAAATACAAAAGTTTATGTTAATATGATGGTGATGTTTTCTTTTTCAACATTCAGGAATGAGGAAGTGTAAAAAAGTGATCCAGATTGGGGTCCCATTTGTTCACATGGTTCTCCTGTTGGTCTCACACAGAGAGTCATGCATGTGCTGACAAAGAGAGAATTGGGCCCAAGGCTTTCATTATGCTGGCAAATGGTTTCACTCAGACATAATCCAGTTGTGATTCCCCTTGAGGTCAATGGTAGTTGTGTGTTTACAAGCTATCATGTATGTTAAGATAAAACTGGGCCCACTGTGTGTTAAAAAGTTGTGTTTAACAATATAATTTGTGAAATACGTTATGAGAACCTTCTCTTTTGGATTGCCTGACCCAGGCCCTCAGCTGTGGCTAAAAAGCATAGAGTGCAACTCAGGCAGTGGTCACAAAAGGGGCATCAAGCTTTCTTTGTGCTCTGCTGCCTGGCATGAGACTGAGAAGCTCAAGAGTTACTCCAATAGATCCCAGCTGGCAACAGCCCCAAGGGACTGCTGATGCTACTGGCGATCACTGGGACATAGGGAAGTCCTAGGCCCCTCCTTTCCCCCCAGATTGGCCTCAGCAAATGGGGTGCCATATATGTGCTATTTTGGCTCTTCATCTTGAGAGGATTGTCCCTTGATTGGCATGAGACTGAGAAGCTCAAGAGTTACTCCAATAGATCCCAGCTGGCAACAGCCCCAAGGGACTGCTGATGCTACTGGCGATCACTGGGACATAGGGAAGTCCTAGGCCCCTCCTTTCCCCCCAGATTGGCCTCAGCAAATGGGGTGCCATATATGTGCTATTTTGGCTCTTCATCTTGAGAGGATTGTCCCTTGATCTTCATATTGCCTGCTATAATATCTTCCTGGCCGTTTTATGCTGGGGTCCAGTACAGAGAGGCTGGAGTGGACCCAGAATCTGCTCCTCTGACTTCTGGGCATTTAAATAGTAAGCCCCATTATATTAATGACAGCATTTATATCAGACACACAAGCTGGGTGAGGTAATATCTTTAATTGGACCAACTTCTGTTCATGAGAGGGACAAGCTTTTAAGCCCCTTCAGGTCTGAGAAATGTACGCAGTGTCACAGCTAAATACAAGGTGAAACAGACGCCTTAGAAAAGAGAACCAGAAGAATTCTTCTGCCAGCTCTGCCTGAAAGAATTCTTTCACAACAATGATGATGATACCACACACAATTACCCTGTTCCCACTGCTAGTCAGAGGAGCAAAGAATAATCTGACTGGACACCCTACAGTGATTGAGACCACACTCTTACGTTAATTGCTTCAGGAAAAAATGGACTGTGAAATCCGTAACAAGCATATTATTCTCTCCACTGCTGAGAAGGCAGCTCTACAGTCTCTGAAATCTAACCACCAGATGAGATCAGCAGACAACGGGGGTAATTTCATAGTCCTCAACTGTGATGACCACATTAAAAAGGCCAACCAACAACTCTGACACTACCTATGGCAAAGTACTCAAATAAGACCCCGTACAACGATGTATCCAATAATTTAAGGACATCATCAGATCCTCCCCCAAACAACTTCAGACACTACAACCTGATCCCACAAAAAAACAACCCAGGCACCTTCTACATAATTCCCAAGATACACAAGCATAGGTACCCTGGGAGAGACCCATCTTACCTGACTACAGCACTCTAACTGAAGAAATACCTGGACTTGTAGCAGCCATCCTTAAACCACTTCACACAATAGGCCCATTTCCTACAGGGCACAACCCACTTCCCCCAGAAACTCTGCAGCTTTAGCACTCTTCCTCATAACAAAACCTTTGTCACCATAGACATCACCTCCTTATACCCCAACACCTCTCACAATGAGAGCATTACTGCCTGCCCCAAATATCTACAAGACAATGGACAAACCTCAGATATCCACTCCATATACGTCATCAAACTCCTCCATTTCATCCAGACCCCTAATGTGTCTTATTGCTCTGTGCAAGGGTCATTCAAGAGCATAGTGATTGGTTTCACACACACAGTTGTGATCAGGGCATTTAGTGCAGTGGATGAAGTACACCACATCTTGTGCTGGGCATCTGTAGGATCCGGGGTCTTGAAGGGTGTGCTGTGGGGGAGTGTTGATCATTATAGCAATAGAGGTATGTCTGCAGGTTTTGCATCTGTTGTTCTGGCAGGAACTGGTGCCAATGAGTTTGTGTGTCCTGGTCTGTGGGAAGCTTGCTTCTGATAATAAGTTTGGAGAGGTTAGAAGAGAGGCCAGAAGAGAGGGTTTATGATTATTTCAGTGGCTTGAACAAAGGCTATGTCTAGACTGGCATGATTTTCCGCAAATGCTTTTCACGGAAAATTTTCCGTGAAAAGCATTTGCGGAAAATCATGCCAGTCTAGACATAGCCTTTGTTCAAGCCACTGAAATAATCATAAACCCTCTCTTCTGGCCTCTCTTCTAACCTCTCCAAACTTATTATCAGAAGCAAGCTTCCCACAGACCAGGACACACAAACTCATTGGCACCAGTTCCTGCCAGAACAACAGATGCAAAACCTGCAGACATACCTCTATTGCTATAATGATCAACACTCCCCCACAGCACACCCTTCAAGACCCCGGATCCTACAGATGCCCAGCACAAGATGTGGTGTACTTCATCCACTGCACTAAATGCCCTGATCACAACTGTGTGTGTGAAACCAATCACTATGCTCTTGAATGACCCTTGCACAGAGCAATAAGACACATATCATATCACTTATAGTTGTGCACTTCACAAAGCGATCACTTTATATCTGACCTCTCAGCCCTCATCCTCAAAGGAAACTTGCATATGAGATGACCAGATGTCCTGATTTTACAGACTGTCCCAATATTTGGGGCTTTGTCTTATATATACTTCCTGTTACCTTCTACCCCAGATCAATTTTTCACACTTGCTATCTGGTCATCCTACCTGCATTAAAACTAATCTGAATAGTGACACTGGATTGATAGCTTATTACAACAATTTATAACCCACTAACACCCTCTTATTCCCCCCTCCCTTTATTTTTCTCTGTATGACTGGAGTAGTGTTACCTGGCAACTTCACCTTGAATGGTCCCTTTAAATATGTCTTAACTACTTATTCTGAATAATATGTTCCACTTTGTATTTAGTTGTGGCACTATCAGTACATTTCCCAGACTTGAAGAAGAGCTCTGTGTAACTTTCTCTCTCACCAATAGAAATTGATTCCAATAAAAATATAACCTTTCCCAGCTTGTCTCTCTAATATCTTTCAACCAACTCAACCAACAGCAACACAGCATATGAAAATTAATATATAATTTATTTTAATAAATGATTAAAGCTTAGCTCTCTAATGATTTCAATATGCACTTCCCATTTTACTTCTAAATATTGAAACTGCTCATTGCTGAAGTACATCAAGCACTTAAGCTGGATGTATCATGACTTAGAGGCAATCACTGTAGGTGTTTCAGCAGCCAGGTCTTGTAGGAAAGAAGGGAATATAAAAAAGGGAAAAATGACTTTTTGAAGTGAGCTAGCTGCTCTCAGTAGAGACTGAGCCTCAATAGAAACTCGGAGTGGCTAGCTCATCACAAGAAGTAACTTCCCCCTTTTGGTATTCTCACCTTCTTATCAATTGTTATTAGCCTAATTGAATTAGTCTTGTTAGCACTGGTCCTCCACCTAGTAATGTAACATTCTCATCTTTACATGTGTGTGTATATATCCCTGCCACACTGAAGATTCCACTTCATGCATCTGATAAAGTGGGTTCCAGCCTACAAAAAACTTATCTCCTCATAAAGTTGTTAATCTTTAAACTGCCACAGGACTCCTTATAGTTTGTTTTAGCAAAACCAAACATGGCTACCCCTCTAAAATGCTAAAACTTCATCTTCATGAGACCATGCATAGAAAATTTCTTTTGGGAGGAAAAAAAGATTCTTTCAGGAAGTTTTGATCTTCAAAAAATATAGGGTTATAATAATCTTCCATATGGCTTCCACCATCAGTGTCCTGGATGAAAGCTGAAGGAGTTTGGATTCCCATATTTATCACTAAAAATGCACAGATCAGAACAGAGCAGTCTCTTCACCAAACATATCATGACTCAGTCTCCAGATGTTTTTTTAAATAAATAGCAATGAAAATAATTTTGTTTTTCATTTCTCTTGACAAAAATACATCTGCAGCTCCCCACTGAATTCTACATCCTATGCCTTCTGAATCATAGGGCGGTTTTCAGGTATCTAAAAGGGTGTCACAAGGAGGAGGAAGAAAAATTGTTCTTCCTGTCCTCTAAGGATAGAACAAGAAGCAATGGGCTTAAACTGCAGCACGGGAGGTTTAGGTTGGAAAAAGTTCCTAACTGTTAGGGTGGTTAAACACTGGAATAAATTGCTTAGGGAGGCTGTGGAATCTCCATCTCTGGAGCTATTTAAGAGTAGGTTAGATAAATGTCTATCAAGGATGGTCTAGACAGTACTGGGTCCTGCCATGAGGGCAGAGGACTAGACTCAATGACTTCTCGAGGTCCCTTCCAGTCCTAGTATTCTATGATTCTATGATAGGGCCTTTGCAGGAAGTTAATAACTAATTGCTGTAGATGTATATTGGAAGAGACCCAAGTGTGACAGGTATATTGAGAAATTAAAAATTGAATGTCAATATTTATTGCATCATAGCTACAATGGTTTTACCAAAGAGTGTAAATTCCGGGCATCTGCACTAGAGCGGCATTTGTCAGTGAATACAAAACTGAATAACTAATACAGTTAATTGGTATGAAACTCATCCAAAGCATCTCGTTAAAATGATGTTGGAGCATTTCGACATATAAAATATCAATGAGAGCTTAAGAATATATTTTTTCATGGTCAGCTTTCTGCTACTGACATGCCAACCACAATGAGATTAACAATGAAACACAAATAGTATTTGTATCTGTCAGTCTTCCATCTCTTCATTAGAAACAACATTTTTAAATGAATTCTCTTGACTTCAGAGTAGACTGGAACCTGAAGGATCTGGGTCGGGTGACCTTGACAGAGACAATGAGATTTTAAGAGTAAGTATGTACTATGTGTTGCTAATGTTGTACAGTAAACAGTTTTATCTTTTATCAGTTTTTAAAATTAGCATAACATTTGAATAATTATGAATCAATGATGGTATGGTTACACAATGCAAAACATGTTTTTATTTATATAGCATCTTTACCACAAAACATCACAAAAAGCTTTGCAAGGAAAATTTCTTTGATCCAGAGAGTAAAGTCCGCAATTCCTAGCCAATAGGAGTGGTAGGAAGTGGTATAGACTGGGACACCACTTCCCGCAGCTCCCATTCGCTGGGGACATCATCTGAGGCCAACGGGAGCTGCGATCACCAGTACCTGCGGAGGCACAGGTAAATATAGCAGTGGTGGCCTGCCAGGCGCTAACCCTGATCGACTGGATCCGGCCTGTGGGCCAGTATTTGCCTGAACTTACTTTCCAGTCAGATTTTAAAAGAAAAAGTGAATTGAAAGTTTGGTTGGAGGCAAAAGAGAAGTACAGAACAATAGGGTAGCATAAGTAAAAATACAGCTGCCGTTAGCATTCTCCCACAATTGTGGAGCATTTGGGAAGAGGACAGAGGAGTCTCAGGTGGCAGGAGTGTCATTGTGGTGAAGTGGGATACAAAGCTGTGAGTATGAGACAGGTGAAGTAGGGTGAAGAAATCCTGGAGAAGTTTCTATTTGTTTTTAAGGAAAAACCTTTTTTAAAATCTCATTCTGAGATTAGTAGAAGCCAGTGAAATTGAGAGGATGGGATTGTTCATTGCTTGCTTCAGCTTTGGGCATCTGTTCCATTAATATGGTGTAGAACTATAGGGATCTCTGTTAATTCTCACTAATTCCATCCATCAGCTTTGTCCTCTCTGTGTTCAGCTTGAATTCATGCCCTGGCAAAGGCCAGGACTTGTGCTGTGCTTTTATTAAATCAAAACTGGAGAGCTTTCTAAAACACACATTGTGGCCTTGCTATACGGACTACTGAAACATTGACTGTGCTTTGCAGGAGGCTAGACTAGATGATCATAATGGTTCCTTTATGAACCAGGGCAACTGCTTCAAGCCACCAGCCTTGCAAAATAGAAAGCAGTTAAGAACTGAACCAGCGGTGAACAGAGGACAGACAAACAGAGGGAGTTTGCTTGAGAGCTTGTCTGGGGAGCTCCCACAAAGCATTTCTGCCTTTCAGGCTTCTGTGAGCAGTAAATACAACATCTGATGAGGCTTCTAGAAGGAAGACAGTACGGATAGTAAGCAATCCACTGTTGTAACCTGCAAAGGATGTGCTACATTTGTCTTTCTTCCAGAGGACAGAAGTGACTGCATCTGTACAAAGTGCAAGCTGGTTTCCATTTTGGAAGAGAAGGTTAAAGAACTAGAGGCCCAAGTATCTAACCTGTGTTACATTAGAGACAATGAAGAATTTCTGGATAGAAGCCAACATTTGGTACTGCAGGCACAGCAGGCTGAAGAATCCGAGAGGGCAATGTAGAACGGTGAAGAAAATTGGCAGCATGTGATCTCCAGAAGAAGAAGAAAGAGGAGAACTCATGTACCCCCCCAGTGCAGATAGAGGTAAGAAACTATTTTCAGGCTCTCTGAACATGTGCTATGGCAGGGAATGGTTTAGAAGAGTTATCTGAGGAAAGGATTCAGAATGAGACCCCATCGACCAGAAGGCCTGGGATGCATTGTGCTAGCGGTGGGGGTTCCACAACCATCACTCCGAAGAAAAGGAGATGAGTGGCGAAGGTCAGGAACTTCCTCATAAGGGGGATGAAGTCATCCATCTGCAATCCAGACCAGGGAACTTGAGAAGTGTTCTACTTACCTGGAGCTAGTATTTAGGATGTGACAGAGTGTCTGTCAAGACTGAGCAAGCCATCGGACCTCTACCTCTTCCTACATCTGCATGTGGGCACCAGTGACACTGCCAAGAATGATTCTGATCTGGTCACTGCAGAGATGGCTCTGGGAAGAAGGATAAGGAGTTTGAGGCGCAAGTCGTATTCTTGTCCATCTTCTCTGTTAAGAAAACAGCACAGGTGGGACCATTGAATTGTGGAGGTAAATGTGTGGTTGCACAGGTGGTGTCAGAGAGAGGGCTTGGGATTCTTTGACCATGAGAAATTTTTCCAGGAAGAAGGACTCCTAGGAAGAGAAGTGATCTACCTAATGAAGAGAGGGTAAAGCATCTTCACAAGCAGTCTGGCTAACCTAGTAAGAGGGACTTTAAACTGGGGTCTGTGGGGAACGGTGACCTAAACCCTTTGGCAAGTCTGGAAGTGGGATAACAGAAAGAAACACAAAGAGAAGAGTGCAACGGGGAGGCCTTCTGATTCATATTGAGAAGGTAGGGCAATCAGCTGGTTGTCTTAGGTGCCTGTATATGAATGCAATAAGCCTAGGAAACAAACAGACAAGTTAACTCCCTGACTGGTGTATTGAGCGGCACAGTATGGGGAAGAGGTGGACAGCCTTCAGTGTGAAAGAACAGGTTAAGGACCATTCAGAAAAGCTGAAGATCCACAAGTCCATGAGGCTGGATCTAATGCCTCCGAGGGTGCTGAGTGGGTTGGTTGATGTGATTGCAGAGCCATTGGTCATTACCTTTTGAAAATTTATGGTGATTGTGGGAGGTCCCAGGCAATTGGAAAAAGGCAAATATAATGCCCATCTTTTAAAAAGAGAAGGAGAATCCAAGCAACTACAGACTGGTCAGCCTTACCTCAGTCCCTGGAAAAATCATGGCACGACTCCTCAAGAAATCCATTTTGAAGCACTTGGCGAAGAGGAAGGTGATCAGGAACAGTCAATAAGGATTTACCAAGGGCAAGTCATTCCTGACCAACCTACTTACTTTCTGAGATGACCTAACTGGCTCTGTGGAAATGGGGAAAGTAGTGGACATGATATACCTTGACGTTAGCAAAGCTTTTGATAATGTCTCTCGCTATATTCTTGCCAACAAATAAAAGAAGTATGGCTTGGATAAATGGACAATAAGGTGGATAAAAAGCTGCTAGATCATTGGGCTCAATTAGTAGTGATCAATGGTTTGATATCTAGTTGGTAGCCAAAATCAAGCAGGGTTTATCCTGAAGCTGGTTTTGTTCAACATCTTCATTAATGACCTGAATGATTGGAGAATTGTACTGTCAGCAAGTTTGTGGATTACACTAAGGTGGAGGAAGAGGTGGATATGCTGGAAGGTAGGAATAGGTTCCAATGTGAGCTAGATAAATTGAAGGTTTGATCCAAAAATAATCTGATATGGTTCAACAAGCGTAAGTTCACAGAAATCAGAAGAATCCCATACATTACTACAGGCTAGGGACTGACTGGCTAAGTGGCAGTTGGGGATTACAGTAGATGAGACGCTGGAGATGAGACAACAGTGTGCCCTTGTTGCCAAGAAGGCTAACAGCATATTGGGCTGCATTAGTAGGAACACTGCCAGAAGATTGAGGTCAGTGATTATTCCCCTCTGTTAGGCCCTGGTGAGGCCACATCTGCAGAATTGCCTCCAGTTTTGGGGGCCCCACTACAGAAAAGAGGTGGACAAATTGGAGAATGTCCAATAGAGCGTAAGAGAAATTATTATGCTCATATGACTTATGAGGAGAGGCTGATGGAATTGGGCTTATTTAGTTTGCATAAGAGAAGAGTGAGGAGGGGGAGGGATTGATAGCAGCCTTCAACTACCTGAAAGGAGGTTCCAAAGAGGATAGAGCTAAGCTCTTTTTCAGTGGTGGCAGATGACAGAGCAAGGAGGAATGGTCTCACGTTGCAGTGGGAGAGGTCTAGGCTGGATATTAGGAAAAACTATTTTGCTACGAGTGTGTTGAAGCACTGGAATGGGTTATCTATGGAGGAGTTGTAATTTTCATCCTTAGAGGTTTTTTAAGGCCAGGTTTGAAAAAGTCTTGGGTGGGATGATTTAGTTGGGCTTGGTCCTGCTTTGAGCAGAGAGTCAGACTAGAGGACGTCTTGAGGTCTCTTCTAGCCCTATTCTTCCATGATTCCTTCTGGACATCAGATCATTTCATTCATCACCTGTTCTGTTCATTCCCTCTGAAGCAACTGGCACTGGCCACTGTTGGAAGGCAGAATACTGGAATAGATGCACTTTTGGCTTGACTGAGTATGGCTTTCCTTATGACTTAAAAATCAATGAATCATACTTTCTCATTATTAAATTAATCAAGGGCTGATGCCCTATTTATAATTAAAATGTTCCTTTTTGACTGATGTTTCTGACATGACTGCCATTAGATGGAATTCATTTTGTGTAACCCAAGTCTCTATTGACTTATCTTAGGGATTTGTGTATCGCTTAAGGGGTTTTTTACCCTTGTACTTTGCAGGGGTTTGTGTGTGTAAATTTCTTCAGATGCATTGTGTTATAGTGACAAAGAACTAGGTTAAGAATCAGGAAGTGTTCATACCTAAAGGCCTGCATGCGTACACAATTTGTATCTGCATCCACATCTATATCAGCAAAAATGAGCTGCAGATAGCTGCATCCACAACTGCAGATGCGGATACCTGTGAATATAAAGCAGATATCTTTGGATTTGCAGGGCTCTATCCATTCTATTCCTTTGACCTGCTGTCTCTTTACCTCTTAGTCCTTTTGTATTTCTCCCTACGTGTCTCAATTGTTTGTTTAGATTATACGTTTCTCCTCAGGGCAGAGACTATTTTACTATGAGTTGTTATAGCACATAGCACAATGGGATGCCTGCCTAGGGATGAATCATCATCTTTAACTGAAACTTTCACTTTGCTGTCAAGGGAAAAGTTTGGAATTTTCCTTGACCCTGAGCTAAATCTTTCCTCCTTCATCTCTAGACAATCAGCCAAATCTAGCCTTACTTTGTTCCTGCGGAAATTCTGAATAACAAAATACTGTAATGGTAATCCTAAAAAACTGCCATCTCCAAGCTTTACTTGGTATATGATATTGCACATAAATGAGCTTAATGCCCAGATAATCAGCCAGAAACTCAGTAAGTGTTTGTGTGTGAGGGGGATTTGCAAAGAAAGAGCTGGTAGTCAAATGGTCAGAGGTGAACAAGCCTTAATACAAAGGTATTGTATTGGTCATTGTAGCCAGCCAGAAAGAGAACCTACTCCACACTGTTGGGATGGGCTGTCACCTGAAATGAAATGTTCTGTTTTCAAATCTTTCTAAGACTGACTTCAGGAAGTCCAGACTGCCACAGGAAGCTTGGTCATATAGTATAGCCCCTGTCCTGCAGCATCCTCACTGATGGTCTTAACCATTTCATTATGCTCTCCTAGGACTCAATATTGTGAGGTGCTAAGTAACTTATCCTCAGTCCAGTGTCCCTTCAATGAGACTCTTCATGTGCATACAGTTAAACATGCAATCATGTTTTTCTGCTTTGAGACTAAAGTGGTCAACACCTTGCAGGTTTAAGTGCATAATTTTCAAAATCTCCATGATCTTTCTCGGTTAATATACGAGATCAGTAATAAAAGGGAAAGTGTTAATGATTCACTTCTATGTAAGAGAGATGCATTTTCAAATTCATCTTTCTTATGTATGAATATATTTTACACAGTTTAATGTCTTCATGCTATCAAGGCTAGGTCTTTGGGACAGGGACCACCTCTTGTGTTTGTACAGTGCCTAGCACAAAGGATTTAACATGTACTTGACTAGGGCTCCTTGGTGCTATGGATAATACTACTAGTTGTAATAGTCCTACACCTTCTGAAATTAATAGCATATGTCTCCTTGGCTTCTATCCAGTGTTCCCTGTAAGCTGACTATTTGGGAAGCTGCTCAGAGGAGATTCAAATTTTGCCCAGCTGATTAGCAAAGAACATCGGCACATGCCTTATTCTGCAGATGAATGGAAAAAATTAGAGGAAACATCGCTTCTATCTAACCTAATTGCTTATGTATAAAGATCACATTGATCACTGGAGTGTCCCTGGGTGTCATTCACAAAGTAAATACAGCAAATTTTCATTTTTAACTTATCTTCCTTTGCTGCCATTTAAAGGTGATGACAGAGGTAAACCTCCCAGATCAAGGGAAGAATGAAGTCCTGTGACCCCCAGGGAGAGTGGGGGAATCAATGGGAGCAGGACTGATCTTAATGAAAAAAGGGAAGTGTTTACCCAAGTTCAATAGTATAGAGTTTTATGGATTCTATTTAAGAATGTTGGTTCTCTTCAAGAATGTTGCATGGACCGGGCCAAGGTGGGGATGAAAATGAACAAGAATGTTTTCTAAGAGAATTTCTGATTTCTCCAGGGTCTCCCTGGGCCACCGGGCCCTCCAGGATTACCAGGTGCTCCAGGAAAACCTGGTTCAAATGCAGAACCCCCTGGATCACCAGGGAAAGATGGACCTTCTGGTGAACCTGGCCCTCCAGTGAGTATCATGACTAGTCATTAGTGCTATACCTCAGTGCAATTTGCAACACAGCTGTGGAAGTTTTGCATGTTTCTTAGGCCTGGTCTATGCTAGACCCAGAAGGTCAGCTTTATGTATGAAAGTCCAGCTGTGCAAATAAAGTAGCTAGAGTTGACTTACCGTAAGCCGAGCTTGGCACAATCCACACAGCGGGAGGTTGAAGGAAGCAAATGCTCTCATCAACTTCTCTTATTCCATGTGGCGCTGTCTGGGATTGTCTTCAGCATTTGATTTAGCAAATCCTCACTAGACTCTCTAAGTTCAATGCCAGAAGACCGATCACCAGTGCAGCAAGTGGAGGTGTAGCCTTAGAACGCTGAGTGTTGTTGCTATTTTAGAATGAGCAATGGTAGAAGAGCCCAAGATTTGATGGAATTCGCAATTTTGTGCCAGGTTCTTTAAAAAGGCAAAAAAGCCAAAGGACCATATTCTCTGGAACAATTTGCTGCATTGATTCATTCCAAAGAAGTGCAAAAGCAACGAAAGAATATAGGTGAATGTGGACCAGGCTGATGAAAAATGAAGGATGGTTTTACTGAAGTTTAATGGGATTGGCCTTCCTTGACACTTTCAAGAAAATAAAGCTGAGAAGCAGTTACATAATTCAAAATGAATTTATAACTTAAAGCTACCATAGGACTTTTATCTCATTGGGCTTTCTCCCTTCTTTTGTGTCTTACCCAGAGATGAAAATTTACCCTTTACACCTAGGGTACGTCTACATTGGCATGATCTTGCACAAATACTCTTTAATGCAAGAGTTCTTGCGTTAAAGTATTTGCGCAAGAGAGCGTCTACACTGGCATGTGCCTTTGTACAAGAACATCCGTACCAGTGTAGACGCTCTCTTGTGCAAGAAAGCTCCAATGGCCATTTTAGCCATCAGGCTTTCTTGCGCAAGAAATTCATGTTGTCTGTCTACACTGGCCTCTTGCACAAGAAGAGTTGCACAAGAGGAATTATTCCTGAGCGGGAGCATCATAGATCTTGCGCAAGAAGAACTGATTTCACACATTAGAACATCAGTGTTCTTGCACAAGAACTCCCCGCCAGTGTAGACAAGCAGCATGTTTTTGCGCAAAATCATGCCTATGTAGATACAGCCCTAAGAAACACTTAAAGTGCGATCCTACTTTAAAAGGTGACAGTAACAAAAAGTGTCATGATGTTGTATATTTATTGTTACTGCATGTTAAATATGCTCAGGTAACAAGAAAAACAGTAACTAGTAATTCTGTAACTACTAGCTTGTTATGGAATCTGAGAGTCAAGCTGGGTTCTTCTCTTCTCGCACATCACCACTGGCAACAGAAGTTCTGACACCCAAATATGACCTACTGCAAGCCCTCTGTCTTCAAATTATTCTCTGTGACTCCATTGCTTTCAGTGGATTTGCTCAGTTGTAACTGGTGCTTTGTATTTAAAAACAAACTTTTCTCTCTGTCTTACTTGTGTGGGTTCTTCAGGGATAACATGAGTAAACTAGGGTCAGCAGACATGATTCTGATTACATCATGTAAGAAAGTAATTATTGAATGTAACCACTTTGTAGAGTAGAGTAGAAGGAGACTTTGAAAGGTCCAGTCCTGCTCCTGAACTGAAGCACAATTAGCCCACTAAAAAACTGGTGCCCACATTAGCTTGTTTTTTCATCTTTTTCTCAAGTAATGACAATTATACTTGGAATGACTTAATGAATCAGAACATACAGATTCCCCGTGAAACGAGGTTTACAGGATCAGTCAGCAAAGGCTTCCCCAGGTGACAGATCCGCATCTAGACTGCCGCGCTGTACCGGATCAGCTGATCGTTGACACAGCGTGGTGGACATGTTTATTTTAATGAAGCAGGGATTATTTAAATCCCCACTTCTTTGACTATGCCGGGTAAACTAATTTACATGGCTCCGTTGACGGAGCCATGTAGTCTAGACATACCCAGTGTGAGCTTTGGGCCATTTTGTAACACAACCCCAACCACCAGCCTTGGGCTCAGCAAAGGACCCAAGAACATCAGTGGCAACGCACTCCATTAGTGCCCCCCACAAGATACTGTCACAAAGGGAATCTCCCAGTTTTAAAGGGAGCTCTTTGTAATGTGTCACATTTCTTGTTCCAGAATTCCACATTCTGCCTGTATTTTTTACCCAATAAAATTTCTCCTTTAGGTTGAGCAAGGTTTTTGCAAACCTAAAATGTCCAGTAGTTTTAAAATCATGGCATACATTGAAAAACAGACCAACTGGCATCTGGATCCATCACCTGCTGATTTCTCCACTCTTCTATACGATATTTCTTCTAAACTCCAAGTTTCCCACTGTGACCAGAAAGCCTTTAGTGTGGTAGAACACCATCAAAAGGACTTCACCCCACAGTGGCTGTGAATACAAATTGATTTTCCAGTAACACACTGTCCTGATATCAAGATCCTCACTTAGGGAAGCTTTTATTTGTTCTGGGGTCCTTTCCTACAACCCTATCCTCAATGTTCCAGTTGATGAAACAGGAGCATGGGCACGTCTGTGAATTAGAGGAAGTGAGCCACTCCCATTACTTCGAGCAACTACCAGTAATTCTTTGCTCTTCTCTTTGGGGCAGGGTTTACAGTTTGCCTCCCAAGAGAGCTATCTAGCTGCTGGTAAAATTATATCAGCATTACCATAAGTATGACCAGGCTTTGTGCGATTGCAAAATCATAGCACTGCAGTTTCTCCAACCATCTGGCAAGCTGTCTCTTGGGATTCTCAAATTTAAAGAGCCATTGAAGGGAAACATGATCTGTCCTGATCTCAAAGTTCCTCCCATATAAATACCAGTGAAAATGTTCTACTTCTAGAAGTTCCTTTCAAGTGATACAATAATTTCTCTCAGGAGAACTTAGACTTTTGCTGTAATAAGCAACCACCCTCTCAAATCTGTGGTGTTCTTGTGTCTGTACTAAGCCCAGATCATAAGTGCTAGTATTTGTGACCAGTATGAAAGGAGTTTTGAAAAAAAATTTAGAGCAAGGGAGGAACAGACTTTATTTGACTCCTATATATCACTCTGAAATCATTGAAATGTTTTCCGTTTCTCACAACCTATGCAAAATCACAAATAAACTTCCTGAGCCTTATAAAACTCTGCACATATGTGAGTGTCTAGACAGTAGGCCAGCTCTGTTCAGCCTCCGCTTTTTTTTAGTCAGTGGAAATTCCCTCCTCACTACTTGGGAGCCCAAGGTAGGTTATCTCTTTTTGAAACAACTCAGACTTCTTTGGATTCAGTTTCAAGTTGGGTGCCTTCAGCTTATCACCATACTAGACCCGCAACAGCACCAAGGCTGTCATCTATTTGTGGTAATGAATAAGAACCTTTTAATATGACTTCATTTAATATTATATAGTCTACACAGAATCTGGTATTGCCATGATGCTATTGGGAAACCTACTCTGGTAGGTATGGCACTTACACAAACAGGAACACATCTAGCTGTGTAACATGAATCATCTCCTTGCCATTCATGAACAATCAATAAGGAGGCTCTAGCCAATTTTCCCCAGCTTCCCATTCTTGCACCCCAGAATGGTGCCATTTTGCACTGGTCAGCAGCCTAGCCAGTGTAAGTCCAGTATCTAGTCTGCTCTTCCCTTAGTGTGAAGAGGACATGCACCAGCCTTTGCAGTCTGAGTTGAGATTTCCCAAGCACTTCATCTAAAACACCCAGTGTTAAGTAAACTATACAACAGATTTATTTAACTACAGAAAGACAAATTTTAAGTGATTATAAGTAGTGAGCATACAGATCGAAGTTGGTTACTGTCGAAGCAAAAACACGCTCCTCTCTGTTTAGGCGGCTAACAACTGATTTGCTTTATTGATCAGTAAAGCAAAGTGAGCCAAACGTGGTCCCAGCAAAGTCGGGCCCAGTAAAGCTGCTAATACAATCAATCCTAGTATCTTTATACCCTTAACCAAACAGTCTGACGTCAGGGCATCCAATTACAGAAATCCTCAATTAAATTTGGAAAAACAAAGCCTTATCAACAAGATGGCGGACAGGTATGAGGGAGTACATCTCCTGTCCCAACCAGCCCAATTAACACATACCAATAGCCCATCCTGTAGGCCTCTTCTCACAGGGTGTCAGAAAGTTCACTCTGGTCTACGTGCTTGACAATGGAACCTCGTATGCTAGCCTTCCCCCTGGTTTCTGCTGTGCCTGCAGTGGGATAGTTCCTTCTCCTCCTGGACCTTCTGGAGCCCTTTGACATGACCCTGGCTTTTTTAACTGGAATAAAGGGGCTAGAGTGGGGAAGGAGTGAGGATCTCACCCAGAGTTTATCTTACTCTTGGCCTAGATTAGGCCAGCCATGGAATAGACAGTGGGTTTTACTACAGCATCACTGCCATCCCCCACCATTCAAAAACTGAGTCAGCCTCTCCCCCGCCCTCCAAATCATTCAACTGTCTGAAAAGGCATGAGATTTTAAATAAAATGTGTCTACTTTGGCATTTAATCCTGTTGTGTGTTATGTCAGTCACATTCTTGCGCTTTTCTCTACAACCACACTGGCAAAAAGCTTTTCTAAAGAAAGCTAAGATTCTTACCTAATCATGAGAATCCAGGAGCTGGAGCCTGAAGAAACACTGAGTATCATAAAACTTGCAATAAAAATGTTAGGAGTCAATAACATTGTTATAGGACCTTAATGATCCTATTCTTTAAATACTTATTATGGGGCATAGACCTATTGCCATGATTGGTCCAGTTGAGAAATTCTTAAGTGCTACACTGAGGGTGTGTCTAAACTACAGGGTTTTCTCAAAAAAAGTGGCCTTTTTTTGAAAAAACTTCCCTTGCATCTAGACTGCTGCCACGTTCTTTCGAAATTAAATCGAAAGAACGCGGTGGTATTTTTGACCGCGGTAAACTTCATTTTATGAGGAAGAATGCCTTTTTTTGAAAGTGCTCTTTTG